TTGTTCAAAAATTATGCTTCTTCTTTTTGTACTGTTACTTTTAAGATTCACCTCTACTACTAGACTGATCACCTGCTGGAGGCTGGTGGTTCTAATACTACTAGTAGTAGTACTACTACAAATATTGTTGCTGGGTTCTGACTCCTACTCTTCTTTTCATGTTGTACACTGATCTCCTATGATTTTCTACTATCTCAGCAACAACAAGAAAGAAGAAAAGAAAGATGACTTCTTGTTGTAGGAGTATGATGTTGATAYCCAATATTCATAATATAATACTAGTTGTCCTAATACATTGTTGTGCTGTAGTATGGTTGGAGATAGTTTTGCAGAAAGAAGAACCACAACAAGAGTTTTGAATGAGAACAGCATATCAGCATCATTCACCCTAACAAATCAGATACTACTTGACTTATTCTTGAAGTAYGAGACAGCTACTTTGTACTACAATATATAAGTGCATGCAGAATGGGTCTCACACATCTCAGCTACACTATGAAGACCAGATGATACCCAAAAAATAGAAGAGAATAGCAGAACTAATGAACCATTTGACAATAAATCATTCTCTAAAAGTACTTATGAATCACCAGCCGTTCTGCTTATGAATGTGATTCGAGTTTTGCAATCCAGGTCCTATGCCTGGCTTTGGGAGTTCATTATTGATTCCCATTATATTGTTTGTGGTCTCTGGGTTGTTATTGTCACTCATCATGGAACTTACCATGTCATCGCCGTTACCAAAGTTTGATGCTCCCTGCATTAAATTAGAATTAGCTGCCGCTAGCTTCGACAATATTGAATTTTTTGCTGTTGACACAGATTCGTAGCTGTTCGAATTCATGTTTTCAAAGTTCCCCTGACCTCTCCCAAAAGATAGCATTGGTCTATAGTTATGACTGCTGTTTATTCCATTCAACGCAGAATGATGGTTATTTAAATCCATGGAAAGGTTGTTCGAGTATTCATTGTTGCTGTTGTAATTCCTAGTCTCCTCGGGCCAACTGGTTCTCTGACCAGATCCCTGTAGCATAGTCATGGGATCTTCTTTCTTTTCCATTGCTTCTAAATGAAGCCGTCGCCGTTGGAACTGATCCATAAGTCCTGAGTCATCCACACCTACCCTGCCATTAACCCCAGATAACCCTATCGAATCACCAGGGGACTTCCCAACTCCGTAGAGGCTACCCAAAAGAGACGAATCCGATGTGGCAGCTCCTCCCAACGGGGCAAAATCATTTCTGAAGCGATTCATCGCCAGCGCCTCCTCAAGTTCCCTCGGAAAGCTTCCCGACGTGATAGAGTTCATTCCCATGGTACCAACTCCGTTCATCCCTATTGCGTTCATAATGCCAGATGTGGCGCCCATGTTTTGCATTCCTGCAAGTTGATTCCTACCCGATAAATTACTAAGGGCGCTTTTGCTCATGCTCGAATTGGTATTCATGCTTGCATTCATGCTCATGTTCATATTCGCATTTCCGTTCGAATTCATCGCCATATTCATGGAGGGAAAATGCATGCCTTTCGAAAGACCCGAAGTAACGGCCTCAAGACCTGCGCCGTTCATTAGGGCTGCCTTGTTAAAGAGATTGTTGGCATTCATGTCCATATTCGTAGCGTTTATAAAATTAAAATTGCCAATGTTGCTGTTCATGCGTCGCTTCGCAAGAGATTGCGACTGCCGTTTCCCTCCTCGAAATTGTTTCCCAAGTGCTACGGCAGCTTTTCGGATAGCATGACCTACAACATTGGACAAGAATTCAAAAAAGTCACTCGATACGTGAGAACGAAAGCAATTGAAAACGATAAAGATAACAAGATAGGCGGGTATACACGTACCAACCTTATCGCGGGCCTTTTCATCGCCTACTTCGAACCAGCGGTTGCTGTAAAAGTCTTTCTTAATAAAGCCGCCACCAGGACTACGGCTCCTGACTTCCGCTACAATCTTTGCGATCACTTCAGATTTTTGATACTTCGTGTTCACATTCAAATAGGTTGGTGCATACTCGTTGATCATGACACGAAACTTTTCGTTGCCGGCTACATTCCAAGTCGCAGTTAGATATTCAGAGGAAGCAACGGATGTTAGTTGTAGGAATTTATCAGGGTGAAAGGTTACCTCCGTCCAGCAACGATAACTTACGATGGGAATGCTTTTCGGTATTCAGACCAAAATATAAATCAATTACGAATAACATAACAAGAAACAAAAGAGCGACCTTGTTGTGAGAAAGAATAGTTATTGAGAAGAGTACTTTCATCATATTGTTCTCTATTAGAAATCTGACTTACATTTTGCCTTGCCCAGCTGCAGATGACATCCTCATCTTTCGGGACATATCCCTCGGGAAGTATTGTATAATCGTCGGTGGCAGACATTCGAGGTGGTTTCTTCGAAAAATTACTATTCTGTGAGCGTTGTTCTCGTTTTTCCATGACGTCATGATTGTGAAAGTCATTTTCGTTGCTATTCGCTTCTTTTTTGTCGTCGGATTCAACACTAGCATTGGAAGACTCATTCTTCGATACAGCCTGTGTATCTATTTCTAGTTTCTTCGGCGGAGAGCCTCCTACTACTAAAGACGAGGGGTGAACAGTCATGACAGCAACAACCGCCATTTCGTCTTGAGTTTCAACTTGTATTCAAAATTACCCTGATCGGAGCAAAGGTTACTTCGGGAGAACGGACAACGATCACGGAGTATCTTTTAGCTAATTCGAGGATGCCTGTATTCAAAAAGTTTCTAGTGCTCTTTGATTTGAGCGTGTTGGAATGTTCGCAAGTTAGGAAATGACTTCACAGTTGCAAGGAAGAAATGGTTTGCCGTTTCTCGTCGATAGGCGTGTACAAAGAAAGTGCAATATCAATCGAAGTACTGTAATGCACAAAATAAAATAGTATCCCTCGCGAGTTTTGATCGTCGGAGCGATTCGTAGGAATTGGGAGAGAAAATTGTCGTCGCAAAATTTTGTGAACTGCTAGTTTCGACGCAATGAACCGGGATGATAAACGAAGTTAACGTACAACCTTTGTCCGTTATTAAATATCGTGCATTTACATGTCAATGCGGATCGCAATTAGTGTACTATAGCTGAAGTAAAAAATATGTAAAGAGACACTTTAACAACGACACTTAATTAATATTTTATTATTGCTCTTCTCAATGACGTTCTTCTTAAATTAAAACCTTAAAGAATTACCCTCTTTTAGTTTATATTTTTTCTTCCTAGATAAGATGTTAATTGTCAAACGGAACGCTATTGTTTTCAAAAACATGAAAAAATACTGATTAAAGCTCTATTTTTATCTCTGTTGGATCAACTACGACCAATAGAAATACATTGTTCTCTTCGGCAATGTCGCATATGGACATTTCATAAACGAGATCTGGAGATAAATAGCGCGACCTTAGCAATGCCAATGAAAGAAGATGSAGGACCAAAWTGCGACACGTAAATGCTGAGTAAATCGTAATGTTTCGCAACGTATTAGGCAATTAAGGTACACTCTGCCTTAAAAATATATGCCACCAAGAAAAAGTAATTAAGACTTTCAATTGCGAACTCAAAGCTACGAAGGAATGCAGGAACTTTGATTAATGTGACGTACAGTATTGCTTTAACGTTAAAAAATATTCTTCGACGTCATCAAATTCGGAGAAGTCATAGCTTTGGAAATAATGACTCTGCACTTCCTTGTTTCTTTTATGTTGGATTACTAAGAAATGGATGTGGAACGAATGTGGTTGAGAACATCATTTCGTGAAAAATTGCATGCAATAATCGAAGGTATGTCAGGTAGTCGACCATCCGCGTCTGTTTTCCGAAGCAGTGCTAGTAGTCMTACCGTATTTTTGTAATTATTCCTCGTAGTTAATGGGCGATTCAAATATGCTCATCATGGTCGTCCACTTCTACCGTAACTTCAGTACAGTAGTGTTAGCCAAGACCACGGTAGCCAGTAGTACTTGTAGTACTAATAGTTAATACAGTAAAAGATTACAAACAACTCATTCATGTACAATTCGTACCCAATCAGAAGTTAACAGGTTATGGGCCTAAGGGGACTCCGCCTCCTGTAGTGGACATGATTGAAAATTTCCTTCGTAGTAGGACTACTGGTGTACGGTACAGTAAATAATATCAAACGTTTGAAGTACTACTAGAATAGGCACCAGCAGTAGTATTAATAGTAGTAGAAGTATTAAAGTAGTAAGCAGGACCTTTGCAGCAGCACTAGAACTAATAGTACTACTAGTAGTTGTGGCTTTTGGTGTAAGTAGTAACCTAGTACTCGTAGTAGTATTACTAGTTCTTCTTCCTCCACCAAGGGGTGGCACGCAAAAGCACATCATGGTGTCCAGGATGCATAGTAGAGGCACTACTTGTGGGTATTTAATAGTTTTTAGTAATGACCAAACAGGGAAGGATGGTTGTTGTCGGGAATGGGAGGACGAGGAGTAATGATCAGCAGGAGTGGTGAACAGAGTGGAGGATATTGGGTATTGGCCAGTGCTGGTGGATTCGCGCCATAATTGTGTCATGAGCCAGCACATCCGCTGTCATGACACAATCCCTAGCATATGAGTGGATTGATTTCGTGCACCATTCCTTCGTCAACGGTGCAGTCGTTTCAAAAAATTAATCCATGAACTAACATCTAGCTCTCGCATCAATATTRATCTATTTCAACGATCGGATTGGGGCCGTTTTATGAACGTCGGATTGTTTCAGGTTGTCCGCCGGAGACCAAAAAGAACATCGTTTCGGCCATAATTGTGCAGATTCTTTCTAGAACGGATATTGTCCTCTCAACTTTGGATGGGTTTCGATGTATGTTTCATTCATGATCCAGCGATTGTTGTGGCCGCTGCTGCTGTTGCTTCGCCCTGCGCTTCTGCTTGATCCGTTCCTTGTCGCGCTCGACGCCAGCTTTCATCGTTTCTCGGTCGCGGACCTGGGAATCATGGCTGTAGAAGACGGCCCCGACGAAGGTGAGGGACGCGATTCCCATGGCGACAGCCGGCCCACCCCTCGGTAGGAACCCAAGGGAACGCGAATTCATTCGGTTTCGGTTTCGGTTTCCTACTATTCGATTCGGTTTGATGGAGCGAATCCGTCGATTATCGATTTGTGTTTTATCAAGAAACGACTGTTTGTTGTGATCAGCTTGTAGCCTCAGACTCATTTAGACAAAACCCAACCCCGGAGACGTTTCGTTCGACAAAAATTCGATTTTTTTAAAATTCTCCCAACTCCATTTCCCCTCTCCCCCCCCCTCCACACACAAAAACTACTGAGTCCTTAAATATTTCATATTTCTATTAGTGGTCCTTACTGCTGGAGAGGTAAATTCATGGGTTACTAGAGAATTACTATTAGGGCTTACTACTGGAAAACCTCTATTACTACTTACTACTGGGGATGTTATAGTAATGAGCACTGCGAACTTCTGTGTTCGGGAACACGGCAGTTCGCAGTGCTCATTACTAGTATAACAACATCCCCAGTAGTAAGTAGTAATAGTAGAGGTTTTCCAGTAGTAAGCCCTAATAGTAATTCTCAAGTAGTAACCGATGAATTTACCTCTCCAGTAGTAAGGACCACTAATAGAAATATTTAGGGACCAGCAATCAATTAAATAATTTGAAACATTTTCTTAACTGTAAAAATGACCCTAACAATTCTGTGAGTGTTTGTGTGGGGACCATCAAAAACCAGCCAGAATTTTGCTCTCCAGTAGAAAAATCGTGGGCCGAAAGTGCTCAGGGGTCTATATAGTCGTGCCCGAGGAAAGGTAAAAAATAAAAATGCTGTCAACCTGTTTTTCATCTGGAAGGTACTACTTACTACCGCCGTCCCACAATAATAGTACACTTTGCACCTGTTGAGTTGAAATACTACTAGTAGTACTAGACTCAATATATGGCAAGTTTCAATGCTTCTTTTTTTGTTTAAGAGATCTATTATATATATGAACCATCCAAAAACATATAAACTCTTTTTATAAACTCTGGAAGAGAAATGAATCTGGGTTGGAATGCAACTCCACAAAATGTTGGCCTCAGAGTGGCTTCTTGTAGTAGTAGTAGTAGTACTAGAATCTTTACAACAACAACACTTCTTCTTGCCAAGAATGAATAGTGTTCCTTTGTTAGTAGTACCATCGTATATGGCAAAATAAAAGAGAATACTCCTTGTAGAATGTGTTTTGGATCATAGCTAATGTATTCACATTACCCGGCAATCACACCTTACTAGTAGATCATTTACCACATCATGACACCAAATCTTACTAGTAACAATGAGGTCGTGAGAACAGCAAGGAATAAAAGAAAGGCTGACTCAGAAAGATGGAAATCATTTTTTAAAGAGGCTGCACMGTTGCAGTTGTCAAGAAAGAAAAAAGACAGGTCAATAGCACTAGGAATAAGGCAAAAAGGGAGGAGGAGGCTAAAAAAGAGTCAGAAATCCAGCACTGGTGGTTGCATCTTTGTCACAAAAGATGGTCGTCAAATGAGGACCATGAGGAGTACTGCACAGCACCCATTCCACCCAGTGCCTGGTTCAATATCAATTCAAACAGAATTTATGTTGGAGTGATCTTCATTTGTTTTCTGAATAGAGCTTGGTTGGAGTACAATTTGATTTCAAGTGGTCTTCATTGGTTTTGGAATAAAACAACGGGTGGAGTAAAATTTGATTGTGATTGAAACTGAATTCATGTTGGAGTAATCTTCATTTGTTTTGGAATAAAATGAGAGGCGTACAATTTGATAATGATTTAAACAGAATTTACATTATTCATTTGTTTCTGAGGTGAGTACAATTTGATTTCCATTGAAACCGAGTTAACGTATGGAGTGATCATGCTTTGTTTTGGAAAGTCCAAATAATGTACACAATTATAGAAGTTATCAACATAACTGAAATTAATTGCACTGGACAACTAAGAAACAATAACCTATACATCTTGAAATTGTTTCCATGTTGTGAAGGGATTGTGAGATAACACTGCAATGGAATTGCTGTTCACTTCAAATTGGTGCATGAACACATCCAAACCACCATTATCCACTAGTAGTCTGTGAACATCTGGAGCCTCTGGCATTTTTGTACTGGCCAGAAGAGTAGGGGAGAGGTCCTCGGCAATCTGATGAGCAGTCTTCACCACACCATGGAACACCCACCCATTTGTCAAAAATCACTCCTTCCATGCAAGTTGCCGTCTCACCCATTGATGACAAAATAGTCATCTGACTGCCCTTCCTCTCCTTCACTAGTACAAGAAGAATCTGTCCATGCCAATGTAGTATGCCCACCCAAGAACCACCTTTGTTGCTATTCTTATCCTTGCATCCAACAGATTGGGTGTATTTGCATAGGAAATTCTCCACCTTTGAACAATTCCAGTCTCTGATAGTAGGCAAGAAGTGCCTTCCGCCAATACTAGAATCCAATGACGTAGAACGCTGGTGGTGGCTGATGGTGGTGGTGGTTGCTCCTAGGTAGTAGACCATAGTAGACCCTGTTGTCCGGGAATCAGGTTGTAGTCAGCCATCAACCCGGGAAGAACTGCGGACCCAGGCAGGCAGTGAGCCAAGGTATGACATCAAAGCCATCTCATGACGGATTTACTACTAGTACAACTACTAGTAGCTAGTAGTAGCATTGCTGTTACTACTACTACTACTACTACTACTTCGTACCGGCCGGTAGTACGAGTAGAAGCACTAAATAAATGATTCAAACACAAACCAGAAAAATATGTCAACTCTAATGATTATTTTATTCTATTGCGTTACCATGGCATGAGGAAAAGATACCCTGTTACAGTATCAATCGCAAAAGAAAAACGCACAATCTACAGAGAACTAACAACACAACACAGCGCAATACTACGCCAGTATTATGAACGTCGAGGGATTTCGCGACGAAGAGGGAAAGGAAAACGTCGAGGTTCCCTTTGACACATGCGACAAATTCGACAACGACGACGAAAGCGATCAGGACCCCACGGTGGAATCCCGAAGAACTTTTGACGACTTCTTGGAAGCTGGCTTTCAGGCTACCAAGGGATTGGCCGCCCCGTTGTATGCATCACCACCACCAACAACAACGGCCACGTCGTCGTCGACTTCCTACCACACAATCGGCAGTAGCCACAACCCACTGAACGATGCCGTTAGTGTCAACATCAGCAATATTCCAAACAGTAGCGGAATTCACATCGCTTCTTTTTGCAGGCAGTGGAGATACTGGTGCATTCTGCTGTCTCTGGGGGTCGCAAACTCCTCCGATGCTACCGAGATTCTGTGCATTTCGTACATGCTGGGGGATCCCGTCTTCCGATCTAACATGCTGGGCGAACGCGAGGGCGGCGATGGGGCGAGTCACGGGTCCGGGCTCCTTGCGGCCGCCGTATTTTTGGGGATGCTCCTTGGGGGATTGGTGGTCGGCACGATGGGTGATTGGTAGGCACACATAGCTCGTGGATTGCCGTGATAAAATTGTGCATGGATCTGGATCATTGAACAACGAGACCAAGCTGTTTTTTCGGACTGTATAGGCTTGCGATGCTTGTGCATTTCAGTCCCTCTCGAACCAGCCAGCCTGCAGCACAATCCGATATAGAAACATTTCCTTGAAAACTGGAAGCTTTTTCTAATATTATTGTTCTGTCGTTCCCCTTGCTTATTTGCTCTTCGTGCGGGAAAACATGATGTATTTTCCAAAACAATACGTACTGTATCCCATGCGACAACCACAACAAATCATCCTGTCGTGAATTCTCTGAACACGCATCCAAACATAATGCTACGAATCGAATCCATCTCCACCAGGATCGGACGGAAGCCCATGCTCCTGCTGGGGCTCTCGTGCAACTCGGTGGCTGGGGTTCTCTCGGCCCTTGCTCCCAGCCTGTATGCACTGGCTCTGCTGCGGTGCATCGCCGGGGTCGGCATCGGAGCAACCGTCCCGCCCCTCTTTACCCTGGCCACGGAGCTGGCCCCACCTTCGGCCCGAGGGGTCTGCGTGACGGTCTGCGCGAGTTTCTGGATGGTTGGGAGCATCTACGTCGCACTCGTTGCGCTGTGGTGCTTCGAGGGACCAGCGGCGGATGCTAGTGATGCCGCGGCGTTGGCGATCGCCACCTGGAGGGTGTTTGCGTTCATCTGCGCCGCACCGAGTGCGCTCGGGGCAGCACTCGTCTATTGGCTGGTTCCGGAGTCCCCGCGATTTTTGGGCATCGAGGGGCGATCGGAAGAGGCAGTAGCAATAGCCAATTCCCTCGTCTGCAGCATGAACGGTGGGAGCGAAAGCGGCATTGCGGTCCCTCCTCTCACGATCGAAGAACTGGAGGATACCTTTCCCTTGTCCGCCCTCCGTGACCTAGAGGACCGACAGCTTCTGAACGGAGGCAGCGACCGGGGGATGCCCGAGTCGGGTGTTTCCGGAAGAGGTGTAGAGGCACTGGCATTTTTGGAAGCGACGGCCTCGGATTTTGTTCGATCGACCTCCAAGCTATACGAGCCAAACCTGCGGCGGACCACCTGGCCTCTCCAGCTGGTTTGGTTCTCCCTTAGTTTTGGGACCTACGGGCTGCTCACTTGGATCAACTTGCTGTTCGAGAAGGTCAATCTGGAGAACGTCTACGTAAATGCCCTCTTGTTTGCCGCTGCAAACCTTCCGGGAAACCTTCTCTCGGCCCTGCTCATGGACAGGATCGGAAGGTCGACATCTCTCATCGGCAGCATTGCCTGCGCATCGGTTAGCTTGATGCTTTTTGCCCTGAGCGCGGTGTGGACCAACCCCACGGGGATTGTCCTCAGCGCCTGCCTCTTCCAGTGCTTCACAGTGGCCGCCTGGAACACCATCGACACCATGACCTCGGAGCTCTTTCCGACCCTGGTTCGATCTACAGGCCTCGGCATGTGTGCAGCCAGCGGTCGCATTGGTGCCCTCATCGCCCAATTCGTGAACGATGCTCTAGTGGAAAAACCGGTGCGGCTCCTTCTGGTCGCCTCCGGAACACTGCTGCTTGGGGCCGTAACGCCGTGCCTGCTACCGGGGGACATGACGGGTCGGCCCGTTCATGACGATATGGGGACCGGAGGAAGAAATCCCGGTCGCATCTTCCAGAGGAAGAACAGCGGAACACGCTGCCTGGGAAACGAGCGTCATCCAAGCATCAACAGCCAAACCTCCGACACCGTTAGCGGCACGGTTGTACAACGTGTATCGCGGCGGTAGTCTTCCGGTGACGACGGCAAGCGAAACGAACTCAACAGCCATTAGCAACTTCATTTGGTTGAGAAAGGATATTCGAAACAAAGAAATACACACAAGCACCGACAATCGTTTGGTGGAAGAGAACAAGTCCCGCTCGACAAATCATAAAGTGCTCTCGGAAAGACTGTTCACAGTGGAAGGCAAGGCACAAACAAACGAAGGAACACCTGAATGACTCGATTCATGAAAAACAAAACATGTCATGCCGGGTAGAGGCTGTGACTCAAAAGGGTCGGGTCGTTTTCTCTTGAGACTTAAGGTTTTGATTTGCACAAAGGAATCGAAGGTTGAATCTAACTGACTAGTCTGAAAAGGGTTTTGAACAAACGACTCGATTCCATTGTTGCCAATGTCGGGAAGATTATATCTCATCAACACATTCCATTACATTTCACTCTAGTCTTCCTTGTTTTCCAAGGCTAGGGCATCAAAWWTTTTTTAAGCTACAACATACATGCTACCGACGATCTCATTTCGACACATGAGAGATTGATTCCTTCCAAAGCTATTTGCAACAGCCTTATTCCTTTTGCTTCCGTTGTCTGTGCGAAGTGTCATCCGTATACAAATACATTTCCCCCATCGACTAGCGAATCATGAACGGAACAACAAAACGAACAAGTGATACAATATCCACTCCGTCATGGTATGAGCAGTCCAATCGAAAAATTCTCCTCGAGCCCATGGATGCATTCTGCAAAAAGGTTAGAGAATGATTCATTCACTCACTGATTCCTTGCGGTGCACTGCATTTATTTTTATCAGTCGTTACGGCTCGTTCGTGCGTTATGAACCTTGAGGTACTGGGCGTGGAGCAGATCGAGGAACCGCTCGTCCTGGATAAGGGACAAGAGGGCGAGCTGAAGAGATTTCTTGTCCAAAGTGGGGGGCTGCTGGGTTCCGTGAGTTGGCGTYGAGTTGTTCGACGACGGCCGCTGCTGCAATGGGGCGCTCTGAGCAGTGGTGTCGCTGTTGCTGCTTCCACCAATGTTCAGGGCGGCAAAGAGGGACGCCGTGGCGGCGTTGCGATCGACCGCTGGTGTTGGCGCTGGTGGGGGAGCTTCTTTCAGGGTGTTTAGGACACGGGTCAGCAGGTMGTTCATGCTCGCCCGCTCGCTATCGTTCGGAAACCAGATCCCCCGTATCGTAGCTTTGTTGTTGTCTGCCCCGTCGTAGTTCTTAAAAATCAAAAAGGGATCGCTTTTCTGGAGCTGGAAGTCGCTCGTGAAGTCCATTGTGTAGTTATTGCTAGAGTTCCGGTTTAGGATTACCAGCACGTTCTTGTTGCTGTTGATGCTCCCATTTCGTACCGCAAGCGATAGGGGTCCCTCGACGTCCGATTTTTCCCAGGACTGCGAATCGTCGCGAAAGTGATAGAGTACTACGTGGGTGGCACCGCCAAGAATGTCGACTATGGAGGGATCAACGCTCCGCTTCAGCAACCGCAGATTGGCCTCCTTTCGGGCCTCTTTGTTGACGTTCAGACTAATCTTTGTCATTTTTTGTGTTTTTTTTGTTGGTCGTTAGTTTCGTGCGGTACTCGGTTTGGTTTGAATCGAATGGAGGGGAATTGGATTGAAACGGAATTTGTTCAAAGTTGTCTTGTTTTGGACCCGGGGAAAGTAAAAAAATAATGTACTTTCCGACGATGACAATATTTCTCTCGTTGGCCCCTGCTCTTCTTGTGATGCTGTCGATCGGTTGTTGCTATCTATACAGCGTCTTTGCGATGACTTGGAGTGTCACGAATAGATCCTGGTTTGCGTTACTTGGAGTTTGTTGTTTGTTTTATTTTAGAAACAGCATTGGTTTGCTCATTGCAGCATCGTCTGTCGATCATGATAATCTTTCGAAAAGGAGAACTGTCCTATGTCGAGGTAGTCACAGTCATATCCTTCATATGCGTCTGTCCCTCTTTCTCCCGAATCCTTAATCCTTAACGTTATCGTTCTACGTGTCGAAATAATGTATCGAAATAATGTACAGCAACACCAGGTACGAGTACCGTAGAGTAGTACCGTACCATGCTACTGTAATTCGCACACGCAGAAGACAAAAGACAGAATTGCACTATTGCACTACTACGAGCCCAACGAAGGTTAGACTGAGAATGAGTTATGTTTCTTATTAGTGCTAGGGTTTATTTTKGTCCCGCGAGTGAAACATTCAAAATTCAAAATCTCTTCCCCCCGACAATTCTTTTGCACAAAAACATACTGTACCTCTTAGTTTATTCAAATTTAGATTACCAGCACCAATATGGTGAACGACGGTGGTAAAGGCGTTACATACAACGATCGCGATGTCTTTTTTCTCCCAGAAAACCTCGGGCCTCGCTTGATGGGCTTATCGTCGTCTGTGGGTGACGATTCGTCCTCTCTGGCGTACCTATCCCCCGCCCTCGCCATCTCCAGCGATCCATCGGCGGTGGCCCACGGCCGGGGCCTTATCGCCACCTCCGATATTTCTGCCGGCGAGTTGCTCTTGGTCCACCCTCCCACCGTTCGGGCTGATGTTTCGCAGGTTCTGCGGATCTACCAAAACAAGGCTAGCAAGAGCAGCAGCAGCAGCTGTGGCTCAAATCTGCTGGAGTCGATCGCCGAGACTGTCCTGCTGAAGGAAATGAAACGAGCTATCCGGGGACGTACCAAACAGGCTCGCAACGCTAAGATTGCAGCCAGCTTCTTAGCACTGAACGGAGAGCATTCGAGCAACAACAATAGCGACAACCATTACAACGACGACGACGAAACCACTCGTAACGAGCGGCACATGAGACTCGCCAGGGTATTGCTGGGAATTGGGACACCAGAGGACACGGAGGAGATCCTTTCACAGCAATCCCTGCTGGATGACAACGAACACCTGCTGGGGATCATTAGGCACAACGCCTTCGGCCCCGACTTTCACCACTATCACCGAATGGAGCGGGAACTCTTCGATGCCAACCACGCAGACACCACCACCACTGGCGGCAACAACACAACTTCCATTGCCTCGTTGTACTCCCGCGTGCTGGGCCACTACCCACTCGCGGCCATGATCAATCATTCCTGCGGCCCGACCAACGCGGCCAGGGTCTTCTACGGGGAAACTATGGTGGCCTCCGCGACGATGGACATTCCGCGGGGTACCGAGCTCGTCTGGCCCTACTGCCCCCCGATTCTGCCATTTCCAGAGCGCCACTCACGCCTCGAGCGCGGCTACGGGTTTTCGTGTAGCTGCCAACGGTGCCTCCTGGAGGGAGCCGCACTGGAAGGGGGCATCCCCCCTCCCCTGCCCCTCATGGGAGCTACGGGCCACGGCGGTGCCGAAGCCCGACTGGGCCCAGACGAATGGTCAAGTGTGCTGGAATCCGTAGAGGCGTGGTACCGCGCCGTGACGGCAGGGGAGCCACCTAAGCACAGCAACAACAACAGTGAACCCCGGTCCCCGCTGAATCTGGGGGAATGTCTCCGGCTCGGGCACACGCAGCTCTATATCGACTATTTCAACCAGTCCCTGGCAGAAAAGGGCGCAGTGGAAGTCCTCTTGGATCAAGCGACCGAGCTGCACAGATCTTTTGCCAGGGTACACAACGCCTGCACGGAGCACCTGTCCCTCCTGCACCTGAGCTACGAGCTAGAAGCGATAGGAGGCAGCACCAGCAAGGAAACTGGAAACGGTGTGSGGATTTGGACCGAGCGCCTCAAGCAGGCACACCTCTGCAGGTATTCGAGCGAGATAGTCGGGAAGGACCTGGAAACACTACGGACGGTCCTCAGGCATACCCGGACCGTCCTAAGGACGAGGAATGGATGGAAAGCCAGCAGAATACAGGGGGCCGCGAATTCTTTTTTATGAGAATGGAGCGAGCGAATGCGCATGCGTGCAGGCGATTGGCACAGGTGGTGCTGCAGCAATGGTAATGTTTTGGCAAGCGAGCGACAGGTTTCGAACTCTCTGTCGAATGCAACATAATCTCTGTACGCATGCATGCAAATCGTTGCACACTTTCCCAAATGGACTGTAAAGGAACTTCACTTATTATTAGATAATGAAACATACTCCCACCAAAAAATGAATAACAACACATGGGATTCTCGTTTCGACTATTCCATTCTGTTCTGGCCCGGGCGTGGACGAACGTTATTACTCGTCTTCGCCCTCGACGGGTTTGGATGTCTTCTTTTTCTTTGTGACAGACTTTTTCTTTTTCAAAGACTTGGGTTTGCTCGGTTCGGCGTCCGCTTTTTCTCCGTCTACCTTTTCGGTTTTCTTCTTTGAAGACTTGGGTTTGCTCGGTTTGGCTGCCGATTCGTCTACGTCAACTTTTTCGGTTTTCTTTTTGGAAGACTTGGGTTTGATCGGTTCGGCATCCACGTCTTCTTCGTCACCTTGACCTTCAGCTTTTGCTTTCTTCGATCTTCTCTTCTTCATTGACGGTTTCTTGCCGAGCGAGGGTTTGCCTTCGAGGATCTCTTCCTCCTCCGTGCTGCTTTCTGATGTTTTGCCCTTCGCTTCAGAGGTTTCGCCAATGCTTTTGAGCGAGGATTTCCGTGTCGACAACCGCTTGGATTGTTTCTTCTTGGGTTTTGGCCGATCGACACTGGTGTCCAGGGTCTTCCCGTCTTCGCTCAGTGGATCGATAGAACTCTCTCGATCCATCAGATAGAATATCCGGCTGGCGCTCTTTTCGGTCTCCTTCCGATCGGAGATATCCTGAAAGGCGGCTCCCAATCCAAAAAGCGAAAAGAGAATGGCAAAGTTCGAAATCAAAAAGTCATTCAGAGTGTACTTCTCTGGGAATCTGTCCAAAAGCCACCCGCCAAAGAATATTTGTAGCGCATTAATCCAYTGCTGGATAAACATGGAGAGGCCCGCTAGCGCACCTGAGGAAACAAASATGGCGCAAAAGACGATCGATCAAGGGTGAGAGTCAAACGACTGGAAGCTACCGAGCTCTAATCAAGCCTTTAAAAAAATTGTCGAAGCCACGAACAAGAACTGCGCCTGACAAGCGCCTACCTTCGCGGAACCCATCGACCAGGTAATTGTCATCGGCATCTTTCGTGGCCGCTTCAAAGTCCTGGAATCGCTGTGTTTCTAGGGTCAGTGCGGAAACGGTTCCCATGTTGAGCAGGGTCTCCACAATGATTCCTCCGGGAGTAGAAATCTCCTCCTCCGATTTGTCTACTCCTTCGTCTTCACCGAACATTTGTTTCATCTCTAGACTCGTGGCAAGACCCATAATGGGAACGCATGCTACGGCAAGAATGGCGAATTCCCACATATACTATTTGCGTTTGCACGTGACGAGAAAAGAAAAGAAGGACATGAGCATCATTTGGGGATTATGCGATGAACACGCGGCATCCTCTCGAACGAAATACGTACAATGAACGACAAGACCAGCCCAGTCACGATCGACGACACGGCAATAATGAGGGATCGAATCGGGTCGCCCGTGAATGTCTGGATTCGGGTCGCGTCTTCCTGCAGCTCCGAGGTGATGGTTCCGACGCTCCGCTTGTCGAAAAACGATACTTCTTGGCGAACCAAGGCGTAGAACGCATCGTTGCGGACGCGCCGGCTCATCCGTTCGGACGCGTAGCCGAAACCCCAGAAGGTGAGGACGTTTCCGACGAGGCAAACCACGACGAGAGCGGTCCAGTAACCGGCGAGAACAAAAGACTCTTCCTTCAGCCTATCGCCTTCGATTTCCCAGTAATCTTCGCACGTCTCCAAGCTGACCATGCCGAGGAGCTCGGGCGTACAGGCAAAAACAGGATAATACAAAAGATTGATGGTATCTATTCAAACGCGACAAAAGGAAAGATCAGACCGTGAATTTTGGCGTGCAAAACGACTTCGTGTTGGACAATGAGAGGTTCCAGTACTTACCAGCAAAAATGAGACCCCAGGCGGGGAAGATACTGCCCGCCATCAGCGCGCCAAATGCCCCGACGAGCAAATACATCTTGTCCGGAGAAGCCAGTTGCCTGGCTCGTTTCAGATCAAAGGCCGACAGTTCTTCTTCCTCGATCTGCCCCTCGCCTTCTCCCTCGTCGTCGTCTCCGAGGTCCTTGCCTCTTCCCTTCTTCTTGTTCGACTTGGACATGGATTCCATGGGGAGTCCGAGGGTGGAGGCACCACGCTCCTGGGATTCTACCAGGCGCTTGTACCTTCCCTTCGGCTTTTCCATCAGCTCGTCGTGGGACCCGATCTCCTTGACGCGGCCGTCGCCGATAAAGGCGATGCGATCGGCGTTTCGAATGGTCGACAACCGGTGGGCAATGACGATGCAGGTTCGCTCGTTCGATTCCATCAGCTTGTCCAGGGCCTCCTGGACGACCCTCTCGCTTTCGTTGTCGAGCGCCGAGGTTGCCTCGTCGAGCAGCAAAATCTCTGGTTTCTTGACCAGGGCACGCGCGATTGCGATCCTCTGCTTCTGGCCCCCGCTCAGCTGGGTGCCCGAACCCCCGGAGAGGGGGGTGTCAAATTCTTCCGGGAACTTGCTGATGAAATCATACGCGTTGGCCTGCTTGGCGGCCTCCACGATCTCTTCCCGGGTGGCACCGGGTGCCCCAAAGGCAATGTTTTCGGCAATGGTGCCGTCGAACAGGGTGGGTTCTTGCCCCACGTATCCGATCTGGTCGCGGTACCATTTCACGTTGAGCTTCCGCACGTCCTGGCCAAAGTATTCGACGCTTCCTTCCTCCGGATCGTAGAACCGCTCGATCAGGCCCATCACGGTCGATTTTCCCCCTCCAGAGATCCCGCAGAGTCCAATGGTTTCGCCCTTGAAAATCTTGAGCTTGAACCTGTCGAGAATCGTCTTGTTCGGCCGCGTCGGGTACGCGAAGGAAACGTTTCGAAAGACAATCAGGGGCGCCGCGTCCATGTCGACGAACCGCTCGGGAACCTTCTCGAATCCGATCTGGCTCTCGGTCTTGCCGAACTGGTTGAGGCTGGGCACCGAGGACATTCTTCTCATCATTGCCGACTTTCCCTGGGTGTCAACGAGTTTTTTGTAGTAGGACTCGGTTTTCATCAGTTCGTCGTGGGTCCCTGTCTCTACCACCGTTCCACCCATCACTACCGCGATGATGTCGGCGTTTCGGATCGTGCTCAGCCTGTGGGCAATAATGACGGTCGTCCTCTTCTGGGTGGTGATGATTTTCTCGAGGGCTTCCTGCACCACCAGTTCCGACTGGGAATCTAGGGCCGACGTCGCTTCGTCCAGCAAGAGGATTTTGGGGTCCCCAACCAGGACCCGGGCGATCGCTATTCTCTGTTTCTGCCCCCCGGAGAGCTGAGATCCCTTGTCGCCGACGTGCGTGTCGTAGCCGTCCGGGAGCTGGGAGATGAAATCGTGCGCGTTCGCCAACTTGGCGGCCTCTTCGATGTCCTCCTGGCTGGCGGACATGTTCCCGTAGGCAATGTTCTTGGCAATGGTGGTGGCAAACAAGGCCGGCTCCTGCCCAACGTAACCGATCAAGGACCGCAGGTGCTTGACGTTCAGGTCCTTGATGTCGATGCCGTCGACCTGGACGGATCCCTCGAGGGGATCGTAGAAGCGCTCCAGCAGCTTGACCACGGTCGACTTGCCCCCGCCGCTGGGTCCGACAAAGGCGATCGTCTTCCCGGCGGGAACGTCGATCGACAATCCCTTTAACACCGTGTCCCCGGGCCTCGTCGGGTAGCTGAACTTGACCTCGTCAAAGGTCAGGCGCCCCTCGACCTTCTCGGGATCGGGAGTCAGACCCTCGGTCGACATGGCGTCGATTTCGTAGGGGGGCAGGATCGCCTTGATCCGGCCCTCGGGGGATTCGATCATGTAGCTGCTGTGCCGGCTGCTGGAGGCACTCGAGACGCTCGCGTTGTCGCCATCGGCACCGCCGCCGTCCGGTTTCTCCTCGTCCACGTGGTAGATTTTTTGCTCCGGGATCCCCGGCTTTCGGTTGATGGTCGCGATCGCTTCCCCGGCCGCCACGCGGGCCGTCGTAAAGGTTTCCAGAAAGGTTCCCACCTGGGAGATTCCCTGCCCGGCAAAGGCGATTCCGAGCATGGCACCAAAGACGTTCTCTCCCGAGCTAGGACAAGTCTCGTTCCCGGGGGCTCCGCCGGAGGGATCGCACCCCGTGTCGTAGACGTCCTTGTAAATGTTGAAGGTTCCGTAGAGAGTCAGAATAATGTACATGATCAAAAAGGATCCGAGCATCATCCCCGCCGTGAATCCCTGCCGGATCAGCGGCTTGGTGGCAATCAGAAAGGCCTCTTCGGTGGCCTCCCTGTACTGGCGGACCATCGTGGTCATCGCGTTGAGCGACAGCACCGTTTTGATGCCCGACACGGTGGAATATGCCACGCCCCCCGCCTTGGAATAGGCCTCCGAGGCCCGGGCCGACTTGCCCTGGTTGATGCTGACGAGCCCGGTGGCAAAAAAGGCGAGCACGGGGGTCCAACTGAGGACCACCAGCGCCACCCTCCACTCGGCGTACAGCGCGTAGACAATGCCGCCGACGCCGGTGGTGAAGAACTGGATTCCCTCCCCGAACTTGCGGCCGACCCCGCGCCGGTATCGGTTGGCCGCCGGGTTGATGGAAGTGGCGATTCCGCTGACGTCGTGGACGTCGAAAAAGGCCGAGTCCTGTCGCAACAGCGAGTAGAACCACTGCTTTTTCATGGACTGCGCGCCCTGGTAGGCCACGACCTCGAAGCAGGTCGTCTGCAGCGTGGACACGCAGAGCGCGTAGCCACCGATCCCCATCAGCCAAAAGGCAATCTCCCTGATGGGACCCAATCCGTTCGTAGACGTCGCTCCCAGCTCTGAAAAGGCGCTGGAAAAAATCCAGGCAATCGCCGGGTACACCTGTCGATTGGTGTTGGTGTTGGCGTTGGCATTGGTATTGGTTCGCAGCGCAGCATTGCCGGGGGGACGGAGAAGTGCGAATGCAGTGCTGTCAGAACGAGAGAAAAGCGAASCAAGGCGAGCTTCGAGACCACACGCCGGCGTCCAGGGCCAAACAGAAGCTTACCATTCCATTCCCGAGACCGCCGATCGTTCCAAACAAGAACAAGAGCTTTGTGTTCAATCCAACTCCAAAGATGAAGGAAAGAGTTTCTCTCGTCGTAGCGATTCGGCTTCCGCTGGCTTCCACCTTTTTCTCTTGYTTCTTTGWTACTTCCATCTCCTCTTTCTCTTCTTTGGATGCGTTTTCATCGGCAGCACTGCCGGAGGCAACTTGTCCCCCACCTCCCATGGTTGTTTCAACACGGGAACACTCGTTGGTGATTTCTTGTTGTTTGCAATCCGATGGTTTCCGGTGTGTTTGTGTCTGCCCGGTCGATCCCGTTCCACGATTCCGAATTATACTCGAACTCGTATCTCGCCGATTGAGTGCTTTTCTAGCCGCCTCGGGTGGAGTCCAACGCCGTGTCGCAGGTGGTGGCTCGAATTTTGGCTCGTCAAGGCCTAATGGCATATAGGCAGAGGTCTCGGCGCGGCGTAGTCGTGCGTACGTACGTTCTGTCTTACAGTACTGAAAAAAATGCTTCGCTTCTTTCTACTATTGTTTTGCAGGCGTCATTAATACTCAGAGTTCGATTCAGAAATTTTTTTTTCTGTGCTCCCCGCCCCGGTGACAAAACGGTCGTACCAGATGGGACTAACTCATTTTTTGGTCGCTTGTGACGTTTGTCACAAATACAATCGTACCCTGTTCCCAGTATGCTCTTAGATGCTCCAAGAATTCGAAACAATCCTGGATGACTTATCGGTACTGAGGTGATGTAGGATTAGCTTTTACTTAATGAACCACCCAAAGATAATTAGGAATCGTATAGATGATAAGCTCTCTGATTCTACTTAATCTATACCCATTGCGACAGACCCTCATCGTCAAGTGTTCAAGTTTAAACCATTAAGTATTTCCTTGGAGGACGTTGAGCTCGTGAGTCACAGTACGAGAAATACGTGTGAAGGTGAGGTTGTTAATTACATTCCTGTCGCATGTGACAAATAAGCGTCAGGAATTCGTTCAGTGGTCTATGTGACGAAGACCGCATCGAATCGCATCATCAAAACAAAACCTTCTTGTGATGTGCGTTTCTCTGTCGGCGCTCACAAAATAACACTTTTTGTGGCAAGGGGCACCTCCGGGGGGCTGCGATAAATTAAAAATTGGACGTCGCTCGATTTTTCGATCGGTAGACGGAAGGACGACTTTTCGAGTGGCATCTTCTGATGATCGTCATCCATCACCCAAAATCTAATCGTCGTTGTCGGTTTCGTCATCGTCCTGTTTCGATTGTCGATGTTGCAAAGTAGTACTACCAAGAAGGAAGCTGCAACAGCATCGACGTGCAATCGCACCAACCATATACCATATATAGACTCACCGGTTTACCAAGGAGCATATATCGCGGCCACCAAGACGTCCACACCATATAAGCTACGTCCGACCGATCGATTTGACCGGCACTGGACTGCAGTTATTTTCCGTCGTTCTTTCGGCCCATCGAAAGAAAAACGTTTCGAAGCTCCGGTTCCATCCAATCGAAGACACCCAAGCCCGGTCCATCAGATGTGGGTCTCGAGGGCCGCGCTCCTTTTGTGCTGTCTTTCTTCGATGAACGCGCTTGCTCTTGCTTTTACGAGAATAGCATCCTCCGCGATCCGTCGGTCCGTCCATCGCAGAGAAACGACCAGAGGAACGATACGGCTGTGTTCGAGCAGCACAAGTGATACCGATACCACCAGCAACACAGAAAAAGACACCGAGCAAGGAAACGGAAAAACCAAAAGCAGCTCGCTCAGCGATTTCAGCAAAAAGAGCAAGAAAACACGGAGCCGCATCCGCCGAGAGGAACAGGAACGCCTCGGGGAGTCCCAAACCAAGCTCACCTGGGAAACCTACGACTATTCCTTGAATCCAAAGCAGGACAATCGCTTTAGCAACGACGGGGCTTCCATCGCCGCCAACATCGGGCTGGACGTCGAAGAAGAGGCGCGGGAGGACCGGAGGCACGCCGAGGAGCTCAGGGATCGAAACAATGCCTACTTGAAGCTGGACCCGGAACTGGTCACCAGGGCCATCGACGCGCTCGAGCCGTGGATCAACGACGACCGCCTCAAACGCGTCTCGGGGGTCCTCAAGCAGCGCACCAAACACAGCAAGTTCCTCTTCGAAAACCCCTCCAATCCCTCCAACGTCTGGGCCTGCCTCCGAACGATCGATTCCTTCGGGCTCCAGAACGTCGACCTGGTGATCGAGTCCGGCCGGTACGCCGGCAAGCAGGCAGTCAGCCAGAAGAAGGGGATGCGCGTCGCCATGGGGAGCGCCCAGTGGCTCACCCTGACCAACCACGCGACCACGAAGGAAGCCATCGAACAGATCAGGGACGTCCAGGGCTACAAGATCTACGCCTCGGACCTGAACCCGAATTCCAAGGACGTCCGGGACATCGATTGGGACGCCGACGACCGCCCGGTGTGCATCGTGATGGGCAACGAGGACAGGGGAATATCCGACGAGATGAGGGAGCTCGCGGACGAAACCTTCACCCTGCCCATGTGCGGGTTCGCGGAGTCCTTCAACCTGAGCGTCGCGACGTCCATCACCCTGGCCCACATGTCGGCGAGTTCCTACCACTGCAACAAGGAGGAAGAATCGGAGAAGCAACGCAAGGGGCCGCTGCGGCCGGGAGACCTGAGCGAGCACGAATACAACTGCCTTTACCTGAAGGGRTTGCTCAACAGTCTTCCCAAAAAGAAGATGGCCACGGCCCTCTTGAAGCAAGCCAACGTCGAATTGCCGAAAGCCCTGGGAGAGCTCTAGCAAGCTCGCGTTCGTTTACGTTCGAAACAACGACGGGACACAATCAATGCAATACGCTACTTGTTAATGCAAGTGATTATTAAAGTATCGTGGTTCGCGACATTGATTTATGTTTATAGATTCCATCCAATTGCTGCTAGACCCTTTATTTCGACACTGGATTGAATCGGTTCTTAAACAACCAGGTTTTTTTTATATAYAAATAGAAATGTTGATACAGCAAGAGAAAACGAAGAGCATGATCGGAGGACAAAGATTGCCATGTGGACGAAATGATGGCCAATGATACCCATGATACAGCCACCTTGTACTCTTCCTCTTGTTTTTTTCATGCTCATCGTTACGAGTCCAGACAGCATACTTTAGTTGAGTGAACGATGAATATTTATGTGTTAGGGTGATGTTATCTCTAGGTAGCATTTGTCATGAACCTATGGCGACATGCGTAATTCATTTTCCACTGAGTTACTGAAAATGAGGTTTAGTCAAATGAAGTAAAATGACAGCAAGAAGGAGGTTGAGTGATCTTGTACTACTACTGCTGGCCGAACTAGTGGGACTAACATTGGAATTGCAAGCAGCTGATTCATCTTTCACATTTTGCGATCTTTGAGAAAGAACGGATCAGTTGCAATGGACACCTAAAGGAAGGGGAAGTAGTATTCCAAGAAAGAAAATATTTTTTCAAAAGCAGCCACCAGCAATGATGAGCCAGTAGCAGTTCTCATACCACCCGTACCCGTACCCGTACCCGTACCCGTACCCGTACCCGTACCCGTACCCGTACCCGTACCCGTACCCGTACCCGTACCCGTACCCGTACCCG